GCGCTTGCACCTTCACCACATTTCTCATTTGATGACCAGTTACTCATAAGTAAGCACGCTCGATCTAACAATTTTACAGCAGCGTTTAACAACCTGTTAAGCGGCATTAAGTAAGGTAAGTGGTTCTCAACCTTTTTGGGGGCGTAACCCACAAAGCAGCTTCACAAGAAAAAAAGTACACCATCTAATTTTAGTTTAAAAATATAATGAAGTATTACATTTTTTGCTTTAAATTACGAATAAATATTACTTTAATAATTTCGATCATTCAAATAAATAAGACATCTATTTTTGAGTAAGTTTGGTTATTAAATCCAGTGGTGATTTAAGGTAATGAGGCGGTTAGTATTGTTTAATGCTAACACTTCCTGGTATCAATAGAATAATTGCGAAGGAATTTCTTATCGACAAATCTCCTCAGGCGCGTAAAATTATGAAGCAGATAATCGAAAGGTATAAGAAGCTATTATTAGCTATGCACAAGTAAAAGGATGTCAGATGATAGGAGCAACAGTAAAACTGGGATCTTATTAGATACACCAAACAATATCAGATTCAAACAAGTCACGACGGACCGGTGGCCTTGAAGCCAGGCAACTGCGCGAGGGCTATGGTAACATCAGCGGTTGTACGAGTGCTCTCTGTCTGCACAATTCCGGTTGTAGACGTCTGATAGCAAGGGTTTCAACTGTAGTCAGGAAGCGCCTTTTGAGCCCCTTGGAGTATCGCTTCGGAGCACTGATGCCGTGTTAAGCAGATGCTCATAGATAGAATTATGGACACTCCTCAGGATTCCATGCCATGCGGAAGCATGGCAATGCTCTGCTATGCATTTTGATAGACGTCGGGTGACGTGTCCACTGTACCTGGCACCACAGGTCAAGGCATCAGCAGTACGCCGGTACGCAGTACCGACGTTTCGCTGCCGCATAACCACCACAGGTCGCACGTGGGGTAAGAATACGGCGATGGTCGCCCTGTCCCTGCGCATGCTCGAACCCGTGCCGGTAGATTACGAGACAATCTCGTTACCTTTAGGCTACGGGCCGGCCACCACAAATGCAGGCAAGCTGATATAGTACAAAGGAGCCGGACGCAACCGGTAGCCTATCTTTGAGATGTTGCGTGATGAGCGGTTGTTTCGGCAAGAACGTGAATTCGAGCAGCCGGATACGTCTTGTTTAGCGCAGAAGATTTAGTATTCATTCATTATACACCTTAGCAAGAGGTGGGAAACACCTCAGCTATTATGCTGCAATACATACTAAAGGAAAAGAAAAAAAATACATACAACTGATGCATGCTAGCTGAGCTACCAGTAACGGATAGGCGTCGTTCCGGAAAGCTACCGGTCGGCTAGCGTAGAAGATAGCATTCCAACGAAGAGCTCGAATGGGATATCCCCTTTGAAAGGAACGGTGAGAAAGACCTCTTTTCTGACTGTGAGCAAAGATTCAGGGACGCTACTGACAACGAAGTGCTTCCTGACAAACACAGTACGCAAACGGTTGATTTCTCGAGTCCTATGAATGAAGTCTTTCTTTTCTTCTAGCGTCTCTAAGCTAAGAAATTTTGTTGCCGATAGTACAAGCAACACAGATTTCTGGCATACTTCACAGGAATGAAGCTGAGAAAATGGGTATATTAGCCAACCCAATTTGTTTTTCTGTATAGGATTCTTTCAAGCCACCTACCGCTAGGTCGTCGTAACAGAACGTATAGAAAAGAAAGTGCAGCACGGTTCTCCGTTTCGCAAATGAACGTCAATGACAGGTGAGTACGTTTAAACCTGTCTAATAGGTGTAAAGGATCGATCTTGCATCAGTATCATTATACACGTTAGCTACAGGTGGAATACACTTCAGCTATTGCGCTACCATACAAAAGACAAGAAAAAAACATGCGAAAGCGACACGCCGGCTGAGTCACCAGTAACGGATGGACATCGTTCCGGAGAGCTAACAGCCAGCTATTGTGCCACAAAAAGTCATACAATGTCTATTAATTGAGATGGTGATTGGGGGGGGGAGGCTAAGCAGGTGGAGGAAGAGGTACAACGAAACTTACAACACGAACCCCATTGAGGTCCGCTGCTAGCTATGTCAACAAGCGATGACTTGGTCGAGAGGAATGAAGGCCCTCACTTCTGAGCTGGCCTCGGTTGGAGCGTCTCGGCTCCCTGGTTGGGGTCCGAAAGACGATGAACACGTTTGGTTGGACACACTTGCTGACATGGCTAGGAGCCGACCTCAGTGGCGTTCGTGCTGTGAGTTACTTTGTCCCACCCCATCGCTCTTAGCCTCCCCCTCCAACCACGATCTCATTATTTAGCCTTATATAATTTTGCATAGTAATTTTTTTTGGTGCACAGCATCCGGCTGGTAGCTTACCGGAACGATGCCCATGCGTTACCGGTAGCTCAGCCAGCTTGCACCAGTTGCTTTTTTCTCCTTTTTTCTATGTATTGCGGCACAGTAGCTGAGGTGTTCCCCACCTCCAGCTAACGTGTAGTACGATGATGATGATGTTCACCGTCTTTCGGTGCCCAACCAAGGAGCCGAGAGGCTCCAACTGAGGCCAACTTCAAAGTAAGAGTCTTCATTCATCTAGATCAAGTCATCGCTTGGCCACCCCTCCTCTTCTTCCATCCGCCCCCACGGCGTGCAAACAAAGCAAGGCGCGGGAGTCGGTTTGCTGGCATGCACAAGGGGTGGTACATCCATCGGAGCGTGGTGCGTGAAATAACGGTGCTGAGCGGTTCGCTTCTACTTCCTGCGCCATAAACAAGGCGTCGAACAGGCTCATTGCTCACACGGTGTTCCCACCAGATATAAGCCAAACTGCACCGGTGACACCGGTGGTCGAATGTAACTAGCTTCTTTAGGTCCGCTGATCTAATGGGCCAGATTTCACAGCCGTCCCGCAAAGTCGAACGTATGGCCGCATTGTACACTATTCTTCAAAGAGAGTGATATCGCGCCAGCGTCACAGGTGGCGAAGGTTAGCAAAAGCGCCTCATGTTTTTACCATGTGGTTTGTGACCTTGGCTCCATTTCCAAAGGCGCTGATACAACTGCCGAGGTAGTTGAACTTTTGAACGACTCCCAGCTGATCCCCACCAAGAGTCAGTGCAGGAAGCGGTTCCCGTCAATTTTGGAAGAAAGCTTTGTAATTCGAGGGTGCAAAGCATAAACCCAAAGGACTGACAGCCAGCGCTAATCTGTCAAGAGCTGCTTGGCACCTTTGTGAACTGTCACAGATGAGGGAAATATCGTCAGCGTACCCGAAATCAAGAAGTCGTTCAACTGGGAGCAGATCCACAACTTCTAAGTCGGTTCCCGTGAACGCGACCTCCATAACTTCATCAACGGTTGAAGAGGAAAGGTGACAGCAGGCACCTTTGTCTCAAGCCGATGGAGATACTGAAGGGCGGCGACAGTTTGTCGTAAGCCCTCACTCCGCCCGAGCAAGGCGCGTAAAGCGCTCGCATCATGTTTACATACTTTTCGCGCACACCGTTCATTAGCAGACAATCCCAAAGAGCACATCGACCAACCGAATCGAAAGCATATTTGTGGTCGAGGAACACGACAACAGCGGGCCGGCAATATTTGCGATGGTGCTTCAACAACTGGCGCAAAGTGAACATGTAGTCGATGCAGCCCCGACCGCAACGGACCTGACTTGCTCCTCACAAATCTGGTCTTCACGAGTGCCAGTTAGTCTGTGAAGGATGACACGCGCAAGCAATTTAGGGACGATGGAGATCAGACTGATTTCGCTATGTTTGACACATTCCAAATGCGAGTTTCCTTTGAAGATCGGAAAAATAACCGAGTGGTTCCAGTCGGTCAGGACAGTTTCCTGTTCCTACAGTCTCACTAGTAAGTCGTGTAGATCATCCATAAAAGCAGCACCCCCGAATACGTAGGGGGCTGGAGGAAGATCATCTGCTCTTGCGGCTTTATTCAACTTCTACAGTACAGTCTCACGTTCGACTTCTGAGCAAGAGGGCGGATCCAAAGGGACAGCCCAGGGAGCAAGATCATCACTGGCCGGTGATAAATCTAGCAATTCCGACCGATTACATTACTCTTCAAAATGTTCAGCCCAACACTCCAAACGTTATGACAAGTTGTAGACAGGCTGTCTTGTCATACATTGTTTTACTAACACCAGGTCTCCTGCTGCCCGTCCCCCGTATCAGACCGAATAAGTTTCGATGGTTACGAAGGGCAGCTTCACTTCCATCACTGACGCACGAGGAGACCTCCAGGATTCGCGGTCTCTCCTCAGACTATCAAGGAGGTTTGTTCTGAAGCTTTTGCAAGTCTCATTCTGTTCGCTTTCGGCCGGAATGAGCCAGGCAGCACCGAAAATTCCAGAAACCGCGAAGAGACCCAATATCAATGTTGTGTATCAGACTTACCACATGAACATTGGGTGGCTGCTAGTAAGGTGTGGTGAACATGCGACGAGTGACGTTCAACTGTATTCACTGAACGCTTACACAGTCCGGATACCAGCATATTTACATACGCATTCAGAACATCTGGCTTCGTCAGTTGGCTGATATCTATGCGCTTACAGCGTCGTTGAGGGCGTCCGACAAAACGTACCCGTAAATCAGCATATACAAGTGCATGCTCAGTGTCCACACATGTGCTCCAAATCGGGCGACAGTTTTGGACGCAGCCTCTTCAGCGGTAACTGATCTCAATGTGATTGATTTGCTTCCAAGTCTGGTCAAAGGCTGATGGGCGCCATGTCACCCTCCGGCGGCGCCTGTGTCGGAAGTTAGCGCTCGCAAGAAATAAGCGAGCATCTTCATACAAATGAAGTAACCGCTCACCGTTATCATTACGGGAGCCTACGCCATGATGGTCGCCCAGATGCAGCTCAGAAGTAGACAATTTTCCAACGGGCGTTCAGATTCCCAGCCAGTACTACATTGTTCGTTTTTTAGTTGAAGAAGGAGCTCGTTCAGTTGGCGATAGAAGTCGTCCTTTACCGAGTTGTTGCTACAGTTTGTGGGGGGGGGGGGGTAGGCAGCGATGATGAACAGAAACCTGTCAGTCCCGCGCGACTTCGAGGCTTTGAACGAGCCAGCTAGTCGGAGCGCGCACATCAGGCTACTGACGAGGATCCAATCAACCAGAGCAGCTTCAGCCCGGTGACTCAGGGCAAAGCCAACACTGGCTTGGCCTGCACTGGAAGCTGCTTCGTCTTCAGATAGGCACAATGAGAACGCACTGTTAATGCCAACAGAAGGGGATCGCAAAGCGAGCATAAAGCTGGAGTTTTGCAGGCAAATTACCGATAAGCAACAGCTATCGATCGAGAGGGTCTCTAATGTTCGGGCAAGTGCCGCCTGTTGATCGATCTGTAGCAATGTACGTACGTTGAGGCCTGACAATCTGAGGGAGCATCGACATTGCAGTCACAAACGATAAACGTGTCGTCCATGTATCGTTGATACGAAACAAGAGACGCGATAACATATCGAACGGAACCGCGTTCCACCTTAGCTAAGAAAAAATCAGCAAGTATTGGTCCCAATGGTGATCCTATCGTAACTCCTTTTATTTGCCGGCAGTATTGGCCGAAGGGATGAAATGGCCATACAGTGCGTATCTGGGCAAGTGGTGGCTGTTTGACTAAGTTTAGATGTGATGAATTGCTTACTATATGCTTATGAAATCGGACCCCGATGGCTATACGTAATAGTACAAGTGCCAGCCACAAAAGTTTGATTTGACAGGCCATAAACACCAAAATTTGGATCCTTTAAGTGGTGCGGTCTCATAGTTCACCCTTTAAGTTAGTCTTCCAGGTATCTTAGTCTAATCAAACCAAACTGATACTGTAAAATCGGTTTGATGGCTGTCTTCTGGCGCTTAAGGTGCAAGATCCACAGCAACAACTAATTGGTAAAAAGAATTATCCACGTAACACCCCTCATAGAAATAAATAAAAATGCAGAAAATTTGTCTTGACGGTTCACATCTTTACATTCGCTCTTCAAAACTAAATATTTATTCTTCTTGCATAGAGGCAACAGATAGGCAATAACAAATTCGCTATTTCTCGGATGCATGCAATGGGTGGATGGATCTGAAAGTTTATTTTAGTACCGTTATGCTTATGGATAAAAAGAGCTGCCATTAGTTTTTGCGATTCCGTCATTCAATTCGGTCAAAAAATCCGTCTCCATTTCTTGCACCGTAGTGAAATACAACATTTAGTTATTTAGTAAAAAGTATGATTATTTTGTCCCCTACTACATGTTGATCTTTATTTTACTATGGCCACGAATGAGCTGATTTCCTAAGTTGATAGATGGGGGCTTTTAGGCTAATCGGGACACCTGGGCAAGATGTATTGCCATAACTTACTGACATGTAAGAAAAGTGTTGGACTCGAAAGCAGAGTGATGGAAAGGGGTCGAAGGCTTGAATGTTTATGCCCTGTGACTGTCCCCATGGACGTCACAGTGATAGGCAAATCCGGATACGGACGCCGCCAAATTATATATATATATATATATATATGCCCTATATCGATATCGGTGTTTTGAGTGATTGGCTGTTGTTTGACATCCCAGGTGTGGCTGCGCTTGATGTGTATGTTGACAAGGTGCCTACCGGTCTATTACCCACTACTTTGTCCATCTGGCTCCAGGAGACAGTTGGTCGTTGCTGGAGGGGACAGGGTGCACTGTCCTTGTGGTCGTGCTAGGCTCGAAGAGTGGTTCCATGCAGTCAGTGTGGAGCGGACTACAGTCAAGCCACCGCCATGTGTGCACTTGATTCACAAAATACAGCGTTCTTGTGTTTGCCTGTGAAGGAGTGTGGGCTGGCTCCGTTGAAGAAACCTGGCTCCCATCCGCATGCCTCCTGGTCTTATTTCTCCAGGTTTACACTGGATATGGGGTGTGTAGATGGAGCTCTGGGTGGTGCAGCGCAAGCCATCCATGGTCCCTTTGTAAGCACAGGCGTCCTGTAGCTGTCCCATGGAGGCCACAGTGACAAGAAAATCAGGAACCGGATGCCGACAACCATATATAGCCCTAAAGAGGCGATGACTCATTTGATATTATGCCACACCAACACACTGGCAGATGGGGTATGGAAGTGCGAGGGACTACGTAGCATAAAAGCAGGTGCTTTGGGGAAGGTTTTACGGATGACTCTGTTATCTCAATCGAACAGGTGGCTATATCTGCATTCTTTATTATTGTCAAGCTATCAATCTTTCCGATACATCCAACTTATCAAGTATTCCAAAAATTCGTTCAGGAACTGCAGTGAAAGGCTACAACGATTACTTGTCTTATGCGGTCCCGCTGCACATTTTGATCTGACCACTGCGTTTCGCAGTGTCGAGGAATGTACTGTCTATTTATTCATCCATAACATATGGTCCGGTGTTGCGAAGAAAACTAGTAAAACTTGTCAGCAAGCCTTGAGTGAGGCTATCACTGTGTTATTTAAGTAAATGGCATACCGAGGTTTATGCAGTAGTAAATGTTAGCGTGTCTTCAAGATAGGGTGGGCGCTAAAGCTGTACGATGAGGCTACAGGTGGGAAGCAAAGTAGCTGAACCAGAAGTAAAATGGTTCAATTAAATGAACATTAATAAAAATGAACAGCTTAACTGAGACTATTGAGGGAATCACCCAGTTCGAAATATCATGAAGGTCGTAGCAGCTGGTTCGATAAAGATTACTCGACTCACGCGAGTATGCAACCTGTAATGGCACTTCCGGAGCCCTCTCGAAAGTCCAGATCAGTCAAGGTAGTCGGGATAGTGGACGCGCCCGATGAATATCCAGACCGGAATCCCATGACGCACTCGTACAGAAACACAACCCCGTCCTTCTGGTGAGGAAGTAAACGACAAGCGAATTGCGGCTCCAGAATGACATCCACAATTGGAAATCCTTCAGGATTTTGGACCCACTGAACATGCGACAAGGGAATAAATTTCTATAGTATCCGAGCTGAGTTTAATACCAAAAAACGCAAAGAACAAATACCCGACAGAAACTATAAGTAAGTTAAGAACATTGATATTGTGACTGAGTTTTTAAATGAGAAAGAGCATGACATGTATAATGCGACATATTTTACGTGATTGGAACGTGCAAAGGGAACGAATGCCCCTTGGGGCTTCAAGTAGTTCAATATACACACCTATGACTGCCGTCGGTTAAACGAGACAGAAAGGTTAACGTAAGTTTAGGGTCATTAAGAGATTAAGATGATAAGCATTATGACACTAGACTGGCATAGGACGGTTCCTAAACAAAGCTGACAACGTCTGGACAGTACGTTTCGCAAGCACAGACTACATATGAGTAGATGTGGCAAAAGTAAATAGGGAAAGTATCAATATGAATGTATGAATTACTCGAAAGATGAGTTGTAAACGCAAGGTTTCACTACAAGGGAGACTGTGAGTAGAATAGAACGTTTTAATTACAATAAACCAGTCCATCAAGTCAACAATGAACCGAGTGTTATAATGCGGCAAACCAAAAAACGAAGGAGTAATTCGCCGAACAGGAATAACAAAACACAAGTGGTAGTCGGGAGTGAAAGACAAAGCTCAAGAGTGAGGCTGACTGTACTCACGTGGCATGATGGAAAAAGCCGCTGACCAAGTATGAGGCTATCTCTAGGTCGATCAACTAGCCCTACCATTTCGTAGTTACCAGCCGGTTAATCTGGAGTTTCATCTAACTGGGTGTGGTTTCAATTAAGTGCTGACCACATGCTAGACTATGGTATAGAAGCTAAAGAGTGCTGGAATCAGTAAAATAAACTAGCATGGACATGAAAGTAAAATTGATGACGATGATGAAAATGAGGAAGAGTCAGCAGTTCGAAAGAAATCCCGCAAGATGAAAAAGCGTCATAACCTTAGTTACTGTACTATACTAAATGGGGTAAAAAAAGGAATGGGGAGCGAAAATACAGTTAGAAAAACAGCCGAGTGGCTGTCTGTTGTGCCCGACGGCGGAAAACAAGCCCATGGCTTGCTTAAGTTGCCAACGAAAGTGCCCATGCATCTGACCGTCTCCATTTTCCGGTTAAATGGTTAGAAGCAGCCGCAGTTGCTGTGCAGGTGAGCATAAAAGTGCGACGAGATTGAAGCAGAGATGGCATGCAATCCTTCATCAAGAACATCATTAGACTTAAGCACAGTACAAGGAATGATTCACTAAGGGAAACAACGTTTAGTGTCTCAAGTGAAGTATATCGACAGCACTATGAAGCATTGCTGAGCGCGCAGCTCAGATGTGCTAACAGCAGCCAATTCCTTTTTAGTCATGGCAGAACGCTTCGGATTGAGAGAGAATCCGTTAGACATTCCTGTGGATATCTGCTGGTTGGAGTACTCGTAACTCAATAAAAACATATTTAACTGGTTCTGGAAGGTATTGCCGTGCCGTAATGTCAGCAAAACTCGAGCATTCTTTGCTGAGTGAACCATGCCATTTGTGTGTTTGATGACTACCTACGCCGAACGGCACAGCTAGTTACTACAGCAGATGATTAGGTGAGGTCTAGAGGAAGTCAGTCGATAAGATACAAGGTAGACATGAAGATACACGACCGAAGTAATCAAAAGGATCAGTGCATGATTTCCTCCTACCCTCGGGATCAATTTCGGAAGCGGTTGAAAGCACTTTTTGATAAGACGCAGTCGTGAACAGAGTGACACGCTCGCATTCGGTCGCACAACTCCGACTCCAAGTATTTTTGTGAGTAAAGGTTCTCGACCAGTTTTCAGAATAACAGTGTTCGTTCAATGAGAATCATTCAGAAAGCTGAAAAGTGCAGCTGGAAGATAAGGGCCGATGGATGAAAGCAAAGTGCAAGCTTAATATGACCAGTGACAATAACTTTAAGGCGTATAAATCTAAGAAAAGGAATGTGTGTGTGCGTGCGTGCGTTCATAAAACATCACATGGCAACTGAATCTCGACACCTAGGGACTCTGAACTGAACATACCTTTGGATGTGTTTCATGTTGGCTTAACAGGAATTTTCGAATAGTCAGGGAGCGGAGGGGTGCATGTTATGCTTAAACACTGGCGGCTAACGAATAGACAGTTTAGGTAAAATGCAAGCTGTAAGGATATACATAACCAAAGGCCGCGATATAAAGTAGTCAAGAGAAAGGTGAAGCTTCCAGTAAGTCAAGCAAGTGCTTTATGCACCTAGAACGGGTGAAGATTCAGCCGTTACATACGCTTCCAACGATGCAGCATGATATAAATGCAGTCCCAAAAGATGGATTAATAAATGTATATAAAAGCAATATCATTATGACATAATCTGGTTGGTTCATTCTTGGACAACTGTTTTGGTCCAGCAAAAATCGCGCTAGGTAACGGATGACTGCTAAGTCGTAAAGGCGGTGAGACCAAATACCCGACAAAATCATACAAGGATGAATTGTCGGGGCAAACAAGAAAGTAAGCAAAGCAAATGAGCGGGATCAGCGTCAAATCACAGCTCAATACACAACGAACAGATGCGGTGAAGCGGTACTCACCACACACTCGGCAGGAGGGCGGGGCATAACCAAGGCGTCCGTCTGTGGCAAACATGCAGGCGCTCTTGCTCGAGGTGGCTACAGTGAATCAGATAACAAAAGAGGGCAGGTGATTAAGGAGGGCTAGTGTAAAGGGCGGTAGTATCGAAGCGCAATCTTAACAGACGTTACTGCTGTTGACTTTTATCAAGTTGCATGATTAGCGCCCTTCTTGTATTGACTAAATAGTGATAACTGGTAAATGGAATTGAACCCCAGACCCAATGGTCGATGACTGACGCCTTTACCATCGCGCACCGAGAAAACACGTCTGCTAGACGATCAAAAGTAATCGTTTACCTCAAAACGAATAACGATGCAAATCAAGCTCGCGTTTCTCAGTTCGAACAGATATCGGATGCGCCATAAGACAATAACGTTTCATGTGAGTAAATAGCCCAGTAGGGGGTTGTATAAGGGTTAACAATATTTTCTTAAATGATGAGGATAACAAGAGAAATTACAACATACGCATCAGTGAGAATAATACTCAGCCAACAAAATAAAACGTCTGTATATTTGATAAGGCAGCGAAGCATAACTGGACAGCGTAACTTTACAACGGAAGAAAACTAAGAAAGTTAACAGAATAGCGAATGTGTAAACATGCGCAAACAAACCTAATCTACCAGTGCAGGTCTAAAAATATCATAAAACAAACCTTCGAAAGCGAACGGGCAAATGAATCATTCAGTGGTGTAGAGTGACCTGAAATCATTGAGAAGATAGATATAACCAGTTACTCGTGCATGCCGAATTTTGTGGGAGTCCGCGGAAAGCATCTAAAAAAACAGCAGATATCGGGAACAACGAGCGATGCACAAACTGTTCTGTGGTACAACGGATGCCGCACTGTCAACTTCGAGGAGAGCACCACAGGAAGCCTGATAAAATTCAGGACTAACCAAGCAGAGCAGTTCGGCTTCGTAGCCGCCAACTTTGAGCAAAGAACCCTCACTCAATGAATTTAAGTACACCATTTTGTTACCGGAACTGGAAGCAACACTATTGGACGTTAGTAAACACATACGATAAGCTCTCACTGTTTGCCCTTGCCATCCACTAACTTAGCTGTGCGTCCATGAATAATTGCAAATCCTGAGAAATAACAATAGCAATGCGAAAAAACACCGTACCATCATCTTTCCATTTCTTGTGCTAAAAGTTGAAGGCGTTAAGGGAGGCTAGAGTGGAAACCAACTTTACAACTTGACGTTTTAGCATAGACAACTTCAAAAATTTTCGGGCCCAGTACTGTTGCCTCTGAATGTTGAGTGACACAAGAATCCGCCGTTTCTTGTTCCGGGTTGTTTATAATCGCCTGATTCACTTTCGAGGTCCTCTCTGTGAGGGGAAGGGATACAACACGACTCGGTGCAGCTGAACGTCTCATGCTTCAACATTCAGCAGCCTGAAACTAGATTTAAAGAAAATTAGCGCACTTTCACCACAAAAGTAAAAATGGACGACCGAGGGCAGTAAATTAGGCTCTGGTTGCTCCAGTCATCATCATCATCATTAAACATTAGCTGAAGGTGAGAAACACACTTCAACTATCGTGTTGCAATACAAAAGGATAAACTATACGAAAATGCGAGATACTAAACATCACAGAAAACAAAAAGTAGGTAAAGAATTGATTAGTAACACATCATATTGCAAGAGAAAGATTGTAGACAGAGGAAGAAGATAACCGGGATGGGGAAGGGAAGAGAAACTCACAATACAAACCCCACTGAGGTACGCATTTATACAAGTCAACCAGTGTACCCAACCAGACGCGTTCATCGTCATTCGGTCCCCAGCCCGGCAGTCGGGAAACAAAAAGACGCAAACTTCGAAGTGGCGGCCTTCATTCCTACTTAACAAATCATCGCATGGTCTGCCCTACTCTAATTTCATCCACACCTTGGTCACATAAAAACACACGTCCCGAGAGTCAGTGCGCCGATATGCGCTAAACATGGTCCAGCCATCGGAGCCTGGTGCGTGAAATAACTGTGCTGAGCGGTTCAGTTCCATTTGATGTGTCATACACAGGTCGGTGAACATGATAATTGATCACGCGGTGCTCCCACCCCATAGCAGCTAAGCTGCAAAGGCAGCGATGGTCGAACGCAACAAGCATCTATACGTCTGCCGACCTGACACTCCAGGTTTCACAATCATACAGTGGGGTCGAATGTAGGGCTGCATTGCACACTCTACCCATGAGGGAGAGAGTGATGTCGCGCCGGGGTCACAGATGGCGGAGATAAGCAAGAGCGTAGCAAACTTTTACTATGCGGTTTGTGAGCTCATCCCCCATTCAACAGGCGCTTATACAACTGCCTAGGCATTTAAATTTCTGAACGACTTCTAGCTGGCCCCCTCAAGGTTCAGTACAGAAGGCGGTCCCTGCCAATTTTTGAGGCCTTTGCATTTCGACGGTGGGAAGTAAAGCCCGAAACCACTGAGAGCTAATGTCAATTTCTTCCCTGCTACTTGGTAGGTTGGTGAGGTGTCACATATGAGGGCAATGTCGTCAGCAAACGCCAAGGCAAGAAGTCGTTCACCTGGAAACAGTTCAATACCTCTTAAGTCGTGTCCAGTGATCACGATTTCCATGAGTGTTAATAAGGAACTTGAAGAAAAAAGGTGACAGTGTACATCCTCGTCTTATACTGTTAAAGATAGTGAAGGACGCGACAGCTCGCTTTAAGCTCTCACTGTCCCCGCGCTACACGCATAAAGTGATTGGATAATATTTACGTATTCCTCGGGCACACGTTTCCTTAGCAGACAGCCCCTAAGGACACGTCAATTCACCGAATCGAAGGCAGCTTTGATGTCGAGAAACACGACAACGGTGGGCTGCTAATATATGCGACGGTGCTCCAACAATTGGCACATAGCGAAGATGTGATCGGTGCAGCCCCGACATCGACGAAACCCCGCTTGCTCTTCACGAATTTGGCTTTCACGCGTGCCAGTCAAGCTGTGAAGGAGGACAGAGGCGAGTACCTTAGAGGCGACTGAGATCAGACTGATTCCTCTATGATTTCCGCATTCCGACCGCGAGCCTCGTTTAAAAATTGCGACTACCGTACGTTTGATAAGAGTCTTTCGATTTTGCTCAGTCTCCGTAGATCAGCCGCGCAGGTCAGGGTGAGATTGGAGCGCACTAATTTGCCGACCCACCAATGGCATGTAAGTCTACTGTATTTACTCACCCACGCATGTCTGGGGGTGTGAATACGACGTGAGGACTCATAGTAGTGCATGTGTCCTTGAAATATGTTAATTACTCCCCGGCGATTTTGCCACCGGTCAGTTCAGATTGGGTCGCTGCCGACGTTTTTGGCTGGTGGTTTGCAACATCTCGACAGCAGTGCATAATGCACTGGCTACCGTGTTCAAATGTTGGTGGCGCATCGACAGTTGCTTAATGTTATCCCAGCAAATGATAAAAGGGTTAGTGACAACGCTGTTGTAGACTGAATGTTACCTTCACATAAACCACCTTAGCAAAATAAGAATTCGTAACAATTAGACGGTGAAAATATGAGATGCTACTTCTGCATAAATGAGTCCGGAAAAGCTGTCGTTGACAGACTACTCCCGTCACAGTCTTGATAGCAATTGCAGGAACCAAGTGGGGTGCACGCTGTCTAATTTGTTTAACAGTGACCGTGACGGTGTAACATGAAAGGCTGACAGTGTCGCTCAGTCTCTCAGGAAAACGTAGGTGTATATCAAACGAAATGATCGTTACATGCTGCCGTGTATGCCAATTAAGAGACTACTCGCTGCACGTGTTTGTGGAGAAGGACTGCCGATGAAATCGGCAGCAGTCCTTGCAACCAATTTTTTAGACGCAATTGGTTGTCCTATCTGCGAGAAGTGGGTCTTTCAAGCGCACTAGTGTAGAGCGGAGCGTTTGGCCTTTCTGGAAAATTAAGCTTATGTTTTCTTTATTTAAGACCCTCTGGATGGCCTCTGAAGTTCCATCTTTATAAGGAATATCTACCGTCCCAATCCACTCGGTAGTACACCGTGGTTGAGGATTTAAAATCCGCTGCAACGGGTATCCGCCTCGGGTATCCACTACCAAGCAATTAGTTCATTGCTTCTTTCCGCGCGGCCTTCCTATCTTCTTCCTCTGTGCACAGAGTCTGGGCTCTGTGAAACAGTGATGAGACGATTCCAGAATACACATGCTTTGGGCGACCTGAACTATAGTAGAATACACCATCTGTCTCCGTCGGCTTACGATATATCTTTGTTTTTGGACTACCCCCATTCCTGTGAACTAAGCAGTCAAGGAATGGCAATGTTCCACTGCCAGATTCCAATTCCATAGTGAAATGTCTGGTCTCCGCAAGAGTGTTCAAACGGTTTAGAAACTCGTCTTTCTTATCCCGTTTTATGCAAACAAAGGTGTCATCCACGTAACGGAGTGACGCTCCGCGTTAGCATGTGAGTTGAAGCTAGAAGATAAACGCCTAGCAAAGCATGTTGGGAAGGGCCAAGAATCGGGGGTTGAAAACTGGGGGATAAAAGTGAAGTTGGAACGGGACCATAGGGGGGGAAGCGTAAGAGGGGAAATAAGAAGACGGGAAGGCTTGAGCAGTAGCATCCAAACCTCTATCCACCCTGCTCGATGCAGCAGATGGGGCACCGTTGATTATCCTCTGCGGTGGCCAGAGCGTCAGGTATTTGTTTGAAGAGTGATTCCTTGTTTTGCGTGGGCAGGATACTGTCAGGTTGTCCAGGCCTAGACAGGAGAATGATTAGGGTTCTCAACCAAAGCCTTTGGTTCAAAAACCTGACCGCAAGACAGCGGGTTTGGCGTTGGACTATAAGGTGTCCGTTTTAAGGAATAAGGTGCTACCCTCATTCCAACCCCCAAGCTGGAGGACCAGGACGCTGAGTTTGTCTGGCCTCTAACCATTGACCAATCTGGTATGAGTGACTCTGAAGGTGCCAAAGCACCACCCAGCATAGCTCAATGGATCGCTGAGGCACACAAACCATCGCACCACGGTAACGTCCAGACTCATTGCGACATAGTCTCTCCTAGAATGAGGACAAGTTTAGACGAGCCGTGTGTGGTAGGTCAATCGCACACAGCGGTGAATCATGGTATGGGGTGGCCTCATGAGCATAGCACGAGTGTAAAACTGCCGTGGGACAAGGACAAACGTGGCCATAAAGCAAAGGGACACTGCAGGGCTGTTAGGGTGGATACACATGGGGATGGACGCCAGGAAGGAGGGCAACTAAGACGTGGGAATTGGAGTGTTCGAGGAAAGACAGTACGTAACAGCAAATACGAGCTAAACCTGGGGAGGGGAATGGGGAAGTTGGGGTAGTAAATTTGGGTCAGGCAAAGACGGTTGTCATCGAACAAGTGTACATTACACATATCACCCCGCAAATACTGTCCGCATGCAGAATAAGCCACAACACAGATCTGTCTCAGGAGGTGGAATGGCTCAATGTTACAGCGAAAGGGCCGTGTTACGGTAAAGGATGGATCATAACATTTGCTCGAATTCTTCCTGGTATCTGCAGATGTTGTGCCCATGCTGGGCCTTGATTCCACTGAGACTTTGGGTTTCGTCTCCTTTATTCATGACCGTTCTGTTCATTCGTGTGACAATAACATAGATGTTAGACAATTATCTTAGTGTGTTTGCCGATGTCGTGGTGAAATTTCAGGGGGAAGCTCACCTGACGTAAAACGAATAGGTGAGACCAGAAGCATTGCCAGCTACGAAAGTACCTATGGTTTTGCGTGAGAAGTTCTTAGATGAGTTGCAGCGCTTGATCCGTTTGGGTGTTAGCCAAGGTTAATGAATCAAACACGTGCAGCGAGTAGTCCCTTAATTGGCATACACGGCAGCATGTAACGATCATTTCGTTTGCTATACACCCACGTTTTCCTGAGAGACTGAGCGACACTGTCAGCCTTTCATGTTACACCATCACGGTCACTGTTAAACAAATTAGACAGCGTGCACCCCACTTGGTTCCTGCAATTGCTATCAAGACTGTGACGGGAGTAGTCTGTCAACGACAGCTTTTCCGGACTCGTTTATGCAGAAGTAGCATCTCATATTTTCACCGTCTAATTGTTACGAATTCTTGTTTTGCTAAGGTGGTTTATGTGAAGGTAACATTCAGTCTACCACAGCGTTGTCACTCTAACCCTTTTATCATTTGCTGGGATAACATTAAGCAACCGTCGATGCGCCACCAACATTTGAACACGGTAGCCAGTGCATTATGCACTGCTGTCGAGATGTTGCCAACCACCAGCCAAAAACGTCGGCAGCGACCCAATCTGAACTGACCGGTGTCGAAATCGCCGAGGGGGATTAACATATTTCAAGGACACATGCACCGGTA